AATATATAAATATAATATAAAATATATTTACAAATATTTATTTCTAAATAAATAAAACTGTCATTTATACACACACAAATTTTTTAAAACAAAGGCAATGAAATTTTTAAAACAGAAAAGGTAACAACAAAGGCAGAATATAATAGTGGAAGCCAAAATACACTGGAATAACATATTAAATGTGCCTTTGCCACAAAAGATCATCACCTAAAGAAACTTCTATAGGATTACATAAGACAGAAAGATCACAGAAATAATAATAAAAAAAGTGGTTAACAAAGATTTTAGATAAATCAAAACAATAATATACTATATAATAGTACACTATATAGAAAGGAAAAGAACAGAACAGATACAAAATACTAGCCAACAGATAACATGTAAGTTGAGGGAGTGATCAGAGCTAAAGAATTCTAAGTTCTTTGTAGTTTTCAAAAGGAAACTAAACATCAGTTTTAGACTCCGAAGTATAGTCAGAGAACAAACAAATTCCAAACAAGTGTATTTGTGTTAATGTGTATGGGGGAGAAGGAATAATGGAATACAAAAAAAATCTTAAAGCAAAAAAGGACATAACTACACATGCAATTGTAAACAGTATGATGAACTTTATACCAATATACCAAAATTTTAAGTGAATAAATCCCTAGAAAAAAACAGCTCACCAAAAATGAATAAAAAAGAAGTGGAATTAAAGAAACTAAATCAGCAATTCAATAGCTCCTACAAAGAAAACATCAGTCTAACTTCATCAAATATTCAAGGAACAAGTAATTTTTACATAAAACATTCAAGTACATATATATATAATAAAGATTTTAAAAGAATTTATACATACCTGTTTCACCAAAAGATGGTAATTTTTCTACTCTGAGAGTTTGTGATCTTTGTCCTTCTTTCTGGATATTTGTAGAGTACAACTTCACTTGGCTCAGTGTACAAATATGTGGGTGATGATAGGGAAGCATGTATGCAAAGTTTCCAAATGTCACTAAATTCTGCCATTCTAAAAGAAAAAAATTATTATTTTTACTTCAAACAACTCTCAGCTGCACAATTAACAAGTCACCTGGGGCCAGGGACTTATTAGCTCAGTGGTTTCACTACCTGCTGCGCAAGCTCAAGGACCCGAGTTCAATTCCCAGTACCAAAAACAAAAACAAAAACAAAACAAAACAAAAAAAACAAGTCACCTTCTTCTCTGAGGCTATTTCCCTACATGTATGATATCAAATAAAACATTCATATTATTCAGCTATTCTGAAAAGTGTCTAGGATATAATATAGTCTTTATTTTGAATGCTAGTGACATGCTAAAATTATTTTTGGCATAATGTATTTTTCAGAATAAAAGACTTGGGTTGGGGAGGGCAAAGAGGCTTTCCTACTCAAAAATTATCCCATATCCTCTTTCTACTAGCTGAAGATCTAGTCCTCTTTCACCTCACAATCAGTAAGTTAATTATATTCATTAGTCATTCATATTGTCATTTGGTAAGATGTCTCCATATGTGGACATTCTAACTGAGCAAAGAATAGAAGATTAATTATGAAGCACGTCAGCCACTGCATCTGGGTTAACTATAGGCTTTGTAGGGCTGCAACACAAAAGGAAAATATTTTCCACAATTTTACCAAAGTGATAGAAAAGTAAACCTGTCTCTACTCTCCTGTGACCCTCTTTCTCTTTTGTTTTTTATGGTGAGTACTTAGAATCCCTCTTTTGGAAAGAACTCAAAAACTTTTTAAGATATAATAATGAGATCATATCATTATAGAATGGAAGACTGAGCATTTAGGAGCTGACATTTTTCTAAGGGCTTAATAATGATCTAAAACTTTTGATTCATGTGTGCTCATATGCAGATATACATCTTCTGAAACAAAGAAAAATCACTTTTTAATGGTTCAGAGGATTCATCGGGAACATAAGTTATTGTGAATGCTGAAGATAATCTGAAGACCACGAAGGAAATCAGACAACAAGTAGTCACTCAAGTTTTAGGCTTAGAACTTATTTTGGAAAATTTCCTGACATCAATTTACTCTTTCACATTTTTTTGAAAATTATTCAAGGCTCAGTATGGTTTTAGTCATTTGCATCTTTTTTTTTTTTTTTTTTTTTGAGACAGCATCTCACTATGTAGTTCAAGCTTGCCTCAAACTTGTGGCAAGCCTTCTGGGTCAGCCTCCCAAATCAATCTATTTTTTTTGATACTGGGAATTGAACTCGGGACCTTACGCTTGGAAGGCAGGCAGTGGAACCACTGAGCTAAATCCCCAGCCCATGAATCTATTTCTTAAAGGCTGTATAATATAAGAATGGAAGATTCCTGCACTCTAAGATATGTAAACTGCTAGCAAAATTAGTGAAATGGAGGCAAAGGCAATTCTCCTAAGAAACTAATATGCCAGAAAAGCATATGCTTCAATATGGTAGCTAGTGTTCACTTTTCAACCCTATTAAAAATATCTTTTGTAATTATTACCTAAGAAGGACAACATGCCACCAACACTTTTTTTTTAACCTATTGATGAGACATGTTTGCAGTTTGTGCTAAGGTGTTTAAAGAGGAATCACTCCTGTCTAAAAATCTTCATAAAATGACTTTTTTCTATAACTTTATGCTATTAGGTTTTTTCAAGGTTCTCATTAGTTTTTAAAATGCATGATTAAAGAAAAACATATTCAAAGGTGGAAAAAACAGTACATAAACATCCACATACTCCTTTTCTGCTTTCAGCAATTACCAACTCTTGGTCAATCTTGTCTTATCTCTACTTTCACCAGTATCTTCACATCAGTATAATTTGAAGCAAATTTTAAACATAATTTCATTCATAGATATTTCAATATGTATGTCCAAGAGACTTTAACAAAAATCACACCACCATTACAATTTTTTAAAAAGTCCTTCAACATCATATATATTCAATTTCAAATTTCCAGTTGTAACAAATGTTATAACTTTTCGAGTTTTATGTGAACAGATCCAAAATGGTACACATAATTGTGATTGAGATGTCTTTTAAACTACAGAATGTCTTTTTTTTTTCCTTTTCATTGCTGGGGATCAAACCCAAGGCTTCCTTCACACATGTTAGGTAAGCACCCTACCACTGTTCCCCAGAATGTCTTTTTTTTTTTTTTTCACTGCATTTTTTTTTTTTGGTACCGGGGATTGAACTTGGGTCCTTGCACTTGCACAACAGGCGGCGAAACCACTGAGCTAAATCCCCAGCCCCCCTTCCACTGCATTTTTAGTGTTGAATGAACCAGGTTGTTTGCACTGAACTTTTGTCCTAGACTAAATTTTGCTGATAGAATTTCATGGCTCTCAACCTATTTTTCTATATGTTCTATAAGTAGATGGGTGTAAAGGCTTCTTCTGAATTCAAGTTTATGAGGACAACACCTTTTAAGTGGTGATGAGAATCTCACAATATGGGCTGGAAATGTAGTTCAGAGGCAGAGCAATTGACTAGCACTCTTCAGGCCCTGGGTTTGATCACTAACACCACAAAAAGAAAAAAAAAATGCTGGTTGTTACTTTGTGATGATGGAGTGTCTAGTGCTGTTCAATGCCTAGAACCATGTATTCATTAGGTGGATATAAAACTGTGTCATCCTAATTTTGTCATGTCTTCATCTATTAGTCAGAATATCTCTTCAAAGAGACAACTCCTCTCTTATTTAGCTACCCAACAGTATGGCTTATATAACAATAAATGTTTTCATTCTTCCCCTTTACTGATCAGTTCTCAAAATAGAAAGTTTATTCATTACCTACTATCCTACACTGGTGACACAGTTTTGGTTTGTGTGTATATCATTACAATTTCGGGCTGGGGATATAGCTCAATGGCAGAGCATGCACGAGGTCCTAAATTGAATCCCCAGGATTGGGGGAAAAAATCCTCACAATTTCATAGATTTAAACATTATTTGCTATAGTATTTCAATCCATTTTGGTCATTATCCCAAGTAATGCTTAAATTGTCCCATGTTTAACCAGTAGGGGTCTCTTCAAATCTTTCTGTCCTATCAATCTTGGATTGCCTCCTTGCTGTTTTGAAAAGTCCTTAATTTTTAACTTGTAGAATTTCAGTTATTAGCAACTTTAAAATATACTGGCATTAACACAAAGCTGAAAACTGCTTACATCCTAAAAACTATGTAGGACCACATCTGACTGAATAAAACAAATACCACACTTCATACCACATAGCAGTACAAACAACCATTGGCTGAATTACTGAATTTATTAATTCTAGTAGGTAGAATATAGAAAATATATTACTCAATATTAATACCCTTTCTTCAAAGTAATGTATAAAACAAGGTGCCTAGAGAATATTAATCTTTAGTTTGACACTTACTATTCTACTGTACTGGACAAAGACTTGTGCTATATATTTCAAAGATATTTTTTATCAAGATCACTGAGCTATTCGTATCAGTCTAGTCACAACAATCATCAGTGTAGTCAAAACATGTCTCTGCTTTTATTATACTGCTTTCACCTCTGTATCTTCTAATAACCACTGCTACTGATCACTAATTCTCTCTCTCCAATCTGGTTTGTCATCTACAACTTACTCTAGTTTTCAAAGAAAATCTGGCATTCATATTGAGACTAGAAAAAACAACAAAAAGAAATTCCATACAAATTTACAATTCAATCTATTACATGTGTTGCTTCTGCAACAACAATAACTAAAAACAAAAAGATTCCTTGTGGTTTGAGTTTATTTCTGGCTAATTTCAAGACCAAAGTCAAACTTGCATCCTGTCTTCCAGATGATGTCTTCTCACCCAAGAGACTATTTCAGGAAGCCCGTCCCCAAATTTCTAAAGCACTGACATATAAAAACTAATAATCACTATACAGTACATGGTTTTAAAACACTTACAAAGTGTGACTTTAAAATACAAAATCATATAGAACACAAAAACTATTCTTCATGGCATGACTTACCACAGAAAAAAACAGAAACAAATATTCCCTAAGAGAAGAATGATTAAGTTATTGAAGGGTCCTGCATTTTCATTATGTATTTATTAAAAACTAAACTTTTAATGAAAAGGAAATTGGCTGGGGATGTAGCTCAGTTATAGCTCATGGGCTACAGGTTTGCTCCCTAGGCAGGAGGGTGGGTGGGGAGCTAGGAAGATGGAACACTCACAAAGCTACATGGGGGGTGGAGAGGGCAGAAGACTAATGCAATGAATTCAACTATATGACTAACGAAATATCTAGATTATATATAACTTTTATTTCTTATACTCTTCTATATTTTTAAATGTCTACAAGAAAAAGAAACTAAATTGCTAAGTTATCCAGAACTTCATCATAATTGGTGATACAGTCTATGTGATATTAACACATTGGCTATCTGTAGTTTACTTTCACCCTTTCAGCCAGCCAAAATCGCAGGAAATCCAGCCTACTCATCTAGCCAGCAAAAGTGTGACTCAGCCTAGAAAACTATAGCTGAGTAAGGAACAGGTCATTCTCTTTCTTTGAATAGGGAACAATACGAGATACTGACAATTTCTTGCACTGCATCCTGGCATACATTTCTACTGTCTTGCTTAATTCTTTTTCAACACTGGCTTAGAAAAAGGAAAACAAAGAAAACATCAAACATGAGGATTTAACAAGTACCAGACATTGTGCTTTTAAATACTGTTGTTCTTATACTCCAAAACATATCTCAAATCCATCTATTTTTCTCAAACTCCACTGCTATCATGGCCTTAAAACAACTGTGTTGGGCTCGATAACTGTAATAATCCCCTATGATCTCCTTATCCACACTCTACCTTCAAACCCATTCTCCAGACAATAGTCACAGTGGATTTTTTTTTTCCTTTTCTCATATTTATTCCTTTCCCTTCAAGTCACTGTGGATTTTTAAAACTTGTCTTTTGTTTTTAAACCTACAGCCTCTGGCTCTAACAACTCGCAAACTTCATTCCATCCTTCTACACTTTACCCCAACCGCTGCAGATTCCTTTCTGCTCCAGAACACTATTCATGGGTCCTTTCCTCTGCTCTGCCAGGATTGCTCCTTCCCCCTACATCTTCTTCACCTGACTTGCATCTCCTTTGCCTTGACACAGTCATCATATCTAACACTCATCCCCAAAAAGCTGAAGTTCCAGGCCAGGCCATCTAATAAAATAACCCTTCTCGGCTTCTTTCTAACCCATCATTGCTTCTTTCTTTTATAGCACTTTAGATATATTTTCTTATTCTGGGTACCTGTGTAATAAAGGTGGAAACTCTGTCTCACTCAGCACTACACTACCACAACAGTGCCCGGGATCTCTTTGCTGAACGATCCTCACTCACAAAATCCTTATCAGACATATACTATAGTTAAATTGCATCATGAACTTAGTGTACATAGAATCACGTCATCAGTCTGTCAAAATGCTTTTATAACTGTAAATATTCTCAGTTATTAAAAGAGATTGAGGACAAGTGACCTCTGCTGGGGATAAAAGTTAAATTCTCATTCTACTTGTGATAATAAATGCTAGATTAGACATCAGAATAATATGAAAAGGTTTAATTCCTATTTCTTATTTTAAAATCGCACTTTTTCTAAATTCAGATTCAAGCAAAACCATGTTATCTGTCAATCTGGCATACACCTCATTTCAAATTTTTGTCAAATGAGGCAAAGGATAAATACATGAAAAAACAGATGTGTGCTTTATGTAATGTGGAAGAAATTTTTTTAAAAAGATATGTTCACTATGGAAACTAATATTTTTATATTTAGAAATACATGTTCTTTGTAGATTGCTCAAAAAATACAGCAAATGAAAGATATGTTAGAGAAACTCACCATTAATATCACAGTATTTACTGTATTTTCTAGTTTTATATAATAATAGAGCAAAATTTCCCATGTCATTCTCTAATTTATGATTTTTTTAAAAAACTGCATATATTACCAGCCGCTAATAAATCACTAATATTTCAGTTTCTAACTCTTAACTATAACTAAGCTACCAGATTACTATATAAATGAACTGAAGTACAATTTTAATATGTATCTGATTATTTAAAATCCTTTGAAATGGAATTATTAGATCAAAGGACATAAACTTTAAAAAGTTCTTTTTATAGAAAAACTAACTTCTCAAAACACTGTTGAACTATATGTTCCCAATCAGTAGAGTGCTCCTGTTTTCCTGCACCCTCAATGTGGGTATCATCATTATAAAACTTTAGCCAATACAGGATGGGCAGTAATAAAATCCTTTAAATGTGTATGTCCAAACTCTTTGTGAGTACACATTTTTTGCATTTCTATTGGCCACTGGAACTTCTTTACAGACTCCTTTTTAATTTCCTTTGCCATATTCCTACTGGAATGCACACTGGCCTGTAAAATTTCTTTACAAATTAGGGATATTAGTCATTATGTAGTGAGCACTTGAAATGTGGTTAGTCCAAACTGAGTATACTACAAGTGTAAAATACATACTGGATTTTGAATTTTGAAGGCTTAATACAAAAATGGAAGGCACAATAGCTCAATTTTTATAATGATTGTATGTTGAAATATTTTTAATATATTGGGTAAAACATATTCAAATTAATTTAATCTACTTTTACTTTCTTTCCTCCAATACTGGAGACTGAACCTGGGTACCACAGTGAAGGCCTGAGCTACACCCCAAGCCCTTTTTTATTTTTTTGAGACAGTCTCTCACTAAGCTGTCCAGGGTAGGCTTGAATATGTGTTGCTCCTGCCATCAACCTCCCACACAGCTGGACTTATAGGCCTGAGCCACACTGCCCTGCTATTTTTACTTTTTAAAATGACTGCCAGACAACTCAAAATTATATATGTGACTTACTTTCCTCATATTTCTTTTGGACAGCACTATTCTTGCATACTATTTCCTTCTTTGTTCAGTACTGGGGATTGAACCCAGAGACTTCACACAACCTATTTTTCTAGCTTACCTTATCCTATCCTGTCCTATTCTATCCTATCCCCCTATCCTACAGACAGGATCTCACTAAGTTTCTGAATTGCCCAGGCTTGCTCAAATTTGCAATTCTCCTGCTAAGCCTCCCAGAGTCCTGGGATTACAGGTGCACCGGGCACACCCAGGCTCTTGCCTTTAAAGCTGTTTTTCATCTTTAAGTATTCAACTAAAGCCAAGTGTTTCCCATAGAAGCCTTTCCCAGCCACACAGGCATTTCAGGAGTAAAAAACAAAATTCTATTTTTTTCAAAGAAAAATGTGTTTTGGGACTTGTTTTCGCCAACAGTTCTTTTCTCTTCACATGCATTCAATTGAAGTACTTCTCTTTCTCCAGTTTTTAGATTTTACCAAAATCATAGTTGCCTTTCAAAAAATGTTTCAGTATTATTGAAATAAAATTTCCACAAAATTATTTTTTAATCTTATAAATGGGAAAGCACATTTTAATTTTTTGTGGTAATAAACATTCCCAATAACTTTGCAATGTCATCCTGACTGGTGAGACAAATAATTACTACCTGTATTTCAGAGAGACAAGACAAAAAGCATACAACTGCCAGGCATGGTGGTGCATTCCTGTAATCCTAACACTTAGGAGGCTGAGGCAGGAGGATTCCTGTAAGTTTGAGGCCAGCCTGGGCTAGTGAGTTCAAGACCAGCCTAAAGTAATAGCTAGGGACCCTGGCTCAAGAGAAAAAAAAAAAAAAAAAAAGCATATAATTTTGAAATAATGACAGCTACACAGAAGAGAGATTACAAATTACACCTTCAATTTCTTTTACCCACATTTAAAGGACAATTTAAATTTAACAGATACTATATGTACTTTCAGTGTTAAAAGCCAAAATTGCTTGGTTCATAGAAGCAATTATATTAGAAACTGTACTTGGGTATTTCGGAGTCCAGCAGATAAGCAGGTGATTCATTCTGTTCGTAAGAGAACCGGTATACTACCAATACGTGAACACTCAATTACACTTTTCTGTCATTACCCAAAAGCCCCAAGAACAGTGATGTTAAAATAAACCCACTTGAAATGTTAAGAACGTAAAAACTTGAATAACTGCAACTTCCAACTTCTACTGGGGGGTCACAAACATGCTAAAGGTTTTTCAATCATGAATTTTGGAGGAATGTTTCTATAAATTCTGCATTCCCAAGAATTTGAGGGGTTAGTGTTGTCTTCTCCTTCAAGGTTCCTATCCATTCTCGGTACCGGGCTACAGCCAAGATGAAGGTAAACCTAATTAGAATATTCAGGTTCAATGTTATTTGGGAACCTTTCGAACAATTTAAACTTGTCAGAAAACAGTGTTTTAGGAGGGATCAAATTTCTCATCAATCACCTCTTTTCTGGGTTACAGTTCAAGGAGACACTTCTTCACCAAAAAAGACTGCTCAGTGGACTGTTTTGCGGTCCAAAATTGGGTTCATTCAATGACTGTGAGATGCTCTCAACTTCTTAAGAAAAAATCCTTTATGTTGTGCGACAACCCCCGCTTTTCTTTTAGGAAATTTAAAAAAAAAGTCCAAAGTACGAAAACATGAACAGAAAACGAATGTCTCAGCCAAAAGTGCTAAATGAAGGTGTGTCAGTGAGCTCAGAATACCCTGAAACTTTGCGGGATCCGCCATTTCCGAAGATCATCACGGACACCAGGACACGCACGTAACGTTTTGTCTGGTACAAAGTGGTCGGCTTCAGAGGTGGAACCCCGGCCCCAGCTGCCCACAAATTCCCAGGGGTGCTGTGCTACGGCTACAGGCAGGGCCAAGATCAGACGTGCCAGTCAAGACCCTCGAGAGATGGGTGGGCGGACCTTAATAGCGGAGAACGTAAAGGAAGACTGTGGCCTTGGGAAAGGGAAGCTGATGAACGGCGCCAAGCCCGACCTGGGCCGTTCGGCTTCCGGGGAACCAGCGGCCGGCGTAGACACTCACCCTGGCGGTCGCTGGAGCCGCGGGGCGCTGCCTTACAGCTCAAACGGAGCCGGCACAGAAAAGAGCAGCTACATCTGTGGGCCGCAGAGGCGGCGGCCAAGCCCGGTAACATCCTTGCGAGGCAGACGCCCCCACTCGGACACCGCCACCTGCCTCCGCACCGCCGGCGGCACCAACTGACTCCATAGACTGGACACTAGAAAACACCGAGGTTTGCGCCGCCAGCGGCGGCCTCAGCGACCCTGAAACTGCGACGTCACTTAGAGACGCCTAGCTTGGAGTGGCGGAAGTGACGTAAAAGATAAGCGCGAATCCTGAGCCTTCCTGAACCAACCCCGCCCGCGTCGCAGGGCGTGACTTCTGATGTAGCTTGGTGTCTGTCCTGTTCTTTCACAACTATAGTTTTGCTCTTTCCTGGAAATTGTTTTGCAGATTGGATCTTAGCAGCCAGTAGATTCCTCGGAGAAGCGAGCTGGAGGTGCTTGTCTGCTACTTTCTTTTTTCTAGACTCAAAGCGTGGGCTACGGTACTGGAAATGGGAAGAAGGGTGGAAGGGAAGAACGCAGATCTTAGCCGGTTTCCTCAACCCCAAGCGTAGGCTAACATGGGCTCAAAACTTTCCGAACCCACGTTCTCCTTTTAATACCATTGTGAAGCCAGTACCATCGAGGCAGGGACACACTTCGGAATCTCCTAATTGCCTGAATTCTGGATCTCAGCTTCTCGTTTGTAATATGTTAAAATTAGAAATGTTTTAATGGCTCTTGTTGCTTTTCCTCTCTTCCACCTCTGTGAACTGTTGCCCCTCTGCCGTGTGCCACCCAGCCTTGGATCCAGCAGATTATGGACTGAAACCTCTATAAACTGTGAGCTAAATAAACCTTTCCTCCTTTTAAAAGAAAAAAAGGACTGGGGAGATGGCCCAGTGCCAGGACTCTGAGTTCAATCTTCAGTACCACCAAAAATAAAACAAAAAAGTGATCTAAAAAAAAAAGAAATGTTTTAATGTTCGTGGTACGTTGAGGGTAAATGGAGGTGTAGCGATTTTGAAATAGTCTGGTCCCAAGGAAAAAGAAACCGGGATAGTGTTCACCACAAGGTGACAAGCTCTTTCAAGTCTCTGCTCAGGAGAGTCCTTTTTTGACTCTCCTAACTGTAATTGGTGTGGTTGTTACTTATCTCGTTGCTATGTGTACTTATTTTCAAAACGCTTACCATTATTTGAAATTATGTATTTATTATTTATTGTCTCCTATAGTAGAAAATAAGCATCATGATGTTGGAATCTATTTTTATATTGCTGTATCCAGCGGGCTAAAACAATGCCTTAACACGAATTAATTGAATGCAATGAATGGTGGTTTTAAAGTTGATCAGAAGTGGTTAACTATTACTACAAGATTGCTATTTCAGGGGGAAATTAATTAATATGTTTGTGGTTTGTTTTGCTTTTTTTGTTTTAATTTTTGCCACGGGGGATCAAACTCAGGTCCTTGTGCTGGTGAGGCAGACAGCGGAACCACTGAGCTAAATCTCCAGCCCCTGTTGTTTTGCTTTGTTTTTGAGACAGGGTCTTGCTGTATATTCCAGGCTAGCTTTGAACTCACTGTGTAGCTCAGGCTGGCCTCAAACTTGCAGTGATCCTCCTGCCTCAGCCTCCTGAGTCCTGAGATTACAGGCGTGTACCACAATGCCATGCAGTATGTTTCTATTTTAAGAGAATCAACAGTCTTTTATACTAAGATAAATATAATCAGATGAGTGAACAAATTATCACAAAAATGGTAAGCAGATTTAACAAATGCATCTTTGTGATATACATAAAGGCTTAACTCTTAGTATTCTAGTAAATGTATGTATTATCTTTTAATCTTTATGAACAGTTATTTCTAAACAAAACTAACCTAATGCTTTGGATTCTTTAAGTGGCTCTGGTTTCAACTATCTTTTTAATCTATTTTCTTATCCTAGAGAAATATACATCTTTTGTAGTCAGAAACATTTTTTTCAAATATATTTTGTGCAGGGTTCTTAATTTTAATAACAGTCATTTTAATAACATAGTGCTAGTGCATAGTAATTCCTACCCTCTTTTTTCTTGGACTAGTTGGGATGTAACTTGATTTAGACACTTAATTTTTCAAAATTTCCAATAACCTTTATTTTTCAAGTAAGTTTGAAGAATAAAATGCTATGTTACCTTATTTAACCCTCTACAATATTTATCACATAATAAAGTCTCAACAGGCTTCAATTAAAATACATTTGTGGTTGTCTTGTTTACATCTACTTGTTATTATACACTTGTCTTGGTTGGATAGTTTTCAAAATTTCCTGAAGTGGTGAAAATTTGGGAATTGGTTACATGAATTTCCTTTGGCTCAGGGTTTTTGAGAGAAATCTCATTCTAAGAGATTTTACTTTTGTGCTCCCATAGAGACATATTCAATAGCTGTCTGTGTACTAAACAGATAAGATTTCAGTGCCATAGAGATCATAGAGCTTTTTTCTGTTGGAAGAAACAGAAATTTAAAGATAAACATAGATAATGTCATGTAGGAATAGTAATATTGATCATTTACTGATTGCATGGCCCTCTGTGGGCATTGCGTCATTCATAACACGGTAACGAGTTCTAGATGAAAAAACTAAGGCATGAAGATCTTGCTCTTATGCATCACTATTTATTTTCTAAGTCAATGGGTACTCTGGGGCGGTGTAAATTTTTCAAAAGATTTGAATGATAATGTAGTCTCTTACTGTTTTCTGGAATGTGGGTGAGCATTTCCCCACATTTTTATACCATTTTATGTGTGATCAACATGATTTTAGATTGTTTGAATTTCATGAGAATTTGTGATGCAGATACCTAAATATAGGAAATATGAAGTCAGATAGAAATAGAAGTAGGAGAGAAGTGAGGCATCATTTGATGAGTCCCATATATCATAAATCCTGCAGGTTTCCATTAATTCTGAAATTCTAACACTTTTCAGAAACTTCCTTCTAAAATTGAGCCAACTACTCCTTGACTGTGTATAGCTTTGGGAAAATGATTCTAAGCATTAGATTTGGCAGATTATCTGGAAAACTGACTCAGATATGAAATAAACCAAGTGGCTCTGTCCTGAAGCTTCCCAAGAACACAAGTTTGTGAACACAAACGAAGCATGGGGACATGTACCCGTAATCTGAATCAAGAAGACTGCAAGTATGAGCCCAGCCTGGGCATCTGTCTCAAAATAAAAAATTATAAAAGAGCTAGGGATGTAGCTCAGTGTGAACACTGTGGGTTCAGCCTACCTCCCCCCTACACACACACTGCCCACAGTACCACAACCAAAAGTAATTTAGTTTAAAAATTTTTTTGAACTTATTTGTTGTTGTGATGTTCTTTTTGTCTGCAGGATCAGGGAAGGACAGAACTTGCCCACCTGAACACTTTAAAAAGAAATAGCTTAAAGATGGGTTTAAATAAAAAGAGAGTCATCTGGTCACAACCAAGGTTGTTACACTGCTGTACAAGCAAAGTCAGAAGTAAAGATGTGCACAGACATGTTTTGCAGATACAGGCAAACTCCTGCATAAGCAGAAGAAGTGGAATGGGGATTTGTTATGGTTTCAGACTGGTTACTATTCCTCACCATTTTTCAGAAAAGTTGAGTTTTTTTTCCCCCATTTCCTTTATTGAAATGTGATAGAACATGGAATCAGACACAGGTGCTCTGACTCCAAATTTCTATATATGTTTAAGAGAGTGTTCTAAAAGAAAGAGACAAGGTAGGTTATTCTTAGGTGTTTTCACCCAAATATTAGTCTATGAAGTTGCTTGAGGGTTTTCTTGGTCATGCTATTATGTGAAATAACAATATAATAATACTCCACTATCAATAAATTTTACTCTTTGTCATTTTCATCCAAGAAATAAAAGCAGGATGATTTCTCCAACAATGACCATATTCCTGGGCTCTAGCTTTCTTACTCAGCTCTTCTAAGCTATTCCAGTTGACTTAGTCACTTTCCCATTGCTGGGACAAAATACTTGACACCCACAACTTAAAGGAAGAAAAGTTCACTTTGGCTCTCAGTTTTAGTCCGTGGTTGGCTGGCTACAAGGCAGAAACGGCGTAGTGAAATACTGCCAACATACAATGGCACAGGATAAACACTCCCATTCCAAAAAGGAGAAATACAAGGGTAGAATGGAATGGGACCAAAGCAAGACAAACCCAGGAGGCCAGACATTAAATCTTGTAGCTCCATGTCCAGCAGGTTGTGGCAAGATATGAACTCCAAAGGGGTTGGGTGGCTCTGCCCCTACAGTATTGCTGATTGCAGCTGCTGTGGGCGGAGACAAGTGGAGAGTCCCAGCAGTCCTGGGCCTGACTCTCCCCACAAGGACGCAGAAGGTTGTGGAAGAATCAAATAGATTGAAAGTGTAGACGCAAAGCTGTACTTTTAGTCAGCAAGCATGCAAGAGTACAGCTGCGTTCTCTCAGAGAGACAGGCAGGGGTGCCCGAAATGGAGCCACCGTTGAAGGGCACAAGATGCTGGTTTTATAGTAGTTGGGGCCTATCTTGCCTCTGGGCTGAGGGAGCCCCTACTTGATTGGTTAATGATTAACTTAGCTCATTACTAGGGACAACATGGAAGGGTCTTTTTGGGGGGCCTTTTACATCTTAGGGCCAAGGTTCTTTTTCCTTGATCTTAGCAAACCAAGGTTTGCAGGGTACAGTGTGAAGAGGAGGTGCAACTGCAGACTTTTAACGGGTGGTTAAGGCTGTTCTGCCAGCTATCTGAACTCCTTGAGGGGAGGGGTCTCTGTCCCTACACAGCCCTCATGATCTCTCCTGGTTCCTCAGTTCAAGTGCCTATGGCTTTCCTCAGCAGATGATCCACATTCCTGCAATCTCCAATTTCCTGGGGTCTCCACCTTTTGCTTCATTCTCACAGCTTCATGCAGTACCGTCTCAGGGGCGCACTGCCTGGGCCTCGCAGGCCTTCTGAAATCTGGGTGGAAGCCTCAAAGACCCCATAACTTTTGCATTCTGCATGCCTGTAAAACCAGCACCGCACAGATGACATCAAAGTCTGCTGCCAGCTTGAGTAGTAGCCAGGCTCCCTTGAAACACAGATGAAGAGACCTCTAGTGATTGGATGGCTGGACACTGTGAAACAAATCCCAGGGAACCAATTCCCTAGGCAGCCCTTTTGAACAAGGATCCCGGAGACTGTTCTCTAATGAAACCTTTACAGTTTTGCC